ACCACTCTATGATTGGTGACCTTACTTGAGTGGCAGAGGTTAGTGATGCTTGGCGCTGTTTGGTTATGAGAGTGAGGTCTTTTTTGTAGCACTGCTTCACCGAATCCAAATGAACCAGCAGCTGCCAAATTGCTCTCTCTACCTGCCAGTGCAGCACCGCGTCTCATGCTGTAAATGATTAGCACATTAGCAGACTACCTTGCTGCTCCACATTAATGTTAGTTTTGTCAGCTATGATTATGCCTGCATGCCGCCGGCAACAGCCAAAGGCATTATGTTTTCTGGTTGGCCGTCCAGCCCAGGGTCATAGCCAGGGCAACATTTCTTGTGTAGAGTGGGCCCAGGCCACAGTAGTTCATTAATCATTAACATGATGCTGCAAGCATAACTTGAGACAAGTGTACTAACTGATTAGACTGCTAGTCTAATTGTAGACAAAGGTGTAGGCCATTATAACTGAATAGTTTGGAAATGTATAACAATTCAGATGAGGAAAAAGAGCATGTACTGGGTTGTGTAGCCCATACTGAGTTGAGGTGCTGGAAAGCAAGACATCACATGTTTTTAAGATGTGAAAGTTGAATTCCAAAGGATTAAATGTTGTTTAGATATTTACAATAAAAATTTCTAGTTTTAAATTTGGATAATTACTATAACTATTGATATGTTATGATTTGTGGACCTGCTTCCTGTTTGAGGCTTTTCTTTTGGTTAGTTTCCAGTTTTCTGTCACCTCACCTGCCCCAGCTTTACTCCGGTCTACAACCACCACTCATTGTGTTCACCTGTCCCTTGTTTTCCTCTGGTCTCTTGTGTATTTATACTCCTTCTTTCCTTCAGTCTGCTGGTTCATTTTGTCTCCACACCTCTCTGCTTCTGTCGCCTGTTCGTTACTCTCCGTTCACCACACCCTGCCTGTTCACATCCGCTGTGGATTTTCAGTTTGTGCTTTCAGGTTTGTTTGAGTGTTTTTGTGGTTTTGAGTGCTTTTGCCTAGCTCCCTGACTGAACTGTTTGTTGTAAGTTTCTGCTGACATTCTCTGTTACTTGTGTCAGGTTGAGCCTCTTGTTGTGTTACAATCTTTCATTTAAAAAGTCAGTTTAAGCAACTCTTTGGCTTGTGTGTCTGCACCTTGGGTCCTACCAAGCCAGGGAACTTTAACATGATAGATTTCAAAGATCTCTTATAGCCTGTCTCATAACGGTTAGATTTGTGTCGCCACGGTCTATGTCTTAATTTGCCTGAGTGTTGGCAAAAATCTTGTAGCCTAATGTACTAAAGTTGTAATTTTTACAAAATGTTATCCAGAAGGCTGTTTCCAAACAGGATTTGATAAGTTAAACCTTTCTCTTCAAAAATACTTTATATATTATAGGTAGGCTATAATACATTTAAAATAGGCGTAATATTGTTCATATTTTTATTATTAGCCCCGATTGCCTCAGTGTAAATATCTTTCTTTATAACAGAATTCCTTTACATGCAGTGCATGGTTATGCATGCATGTTTCATACACTAATATGTGCAGACAGCTCCAATGCATGAAGAGCAGTTATGATAATGCTTCTGTGGATTTTACTCTACGTCAGCCTTTTAATGTCTGCAAACTTACAGAGAAAGCACTAAAGGCAAATGAGCAAATTTATATTCTGTTTACTTGAGGAAACCACACATATTAAACGGGGCCATCACTGTGTTTTTCTTCCCTGTGGTTTTGCTCATCTCATCCCTTTCTCTCCAGTGAAGGCCCAGAGTCTGAAAACACACACAAACATAGAGAGACACACATCAAGGCATGCATAAATACACTTTTGGACCAGATCTTCCTCCCCTCAGTATCTGCAGGGTGTTTCAACACCAGAGTAGAGTTGTGAGTTGATAATTGCTTCTGAAAGGTTGATTTGTGGCTATATCAGAGAGGCTAACTCTCTGCTCAGTGTTAAACTAGATTAGCCATGGATCTTCAGGATTTATCACTTGGTGCACACGGATTAGCACCACTATGAAGTTTAGAACAGAATCACTGCATTATTTTAAAGAAGTTGCAAATATTTTGCATGCTCAAAATTGGTAGTTTGTATATATGATCAACCTCATATTGTATTGTTTTTCTGTGAGTTTTCTGTTCTTTATTTAGGCTTGCAGTAAACTTAGCTCTGCAACTTTAGTGGATTTTGTTTGGGAGGGGGAGTGGATGTAATTAAATCCCAACTCCATCTGGTATTCAGCATGTCAATAGAAATCACACCTTAGTGATTCAGAGAGAAAATTAAATGAGATTGACTCCCTGATGTGCATTAGAGGCATGTCTGACTTCTCCGAGGCCCACTGCCTCACCCACAATGCAAAGCAAATGTATGGATAATAGGTTTAGGATTATCTCTGATGCAAGGTTCATTTTATGGCATTAGAGGAAGCCAGACAAAGCATGAATCACAAGCAAGATATCTGTAAATAAGCCTCTCGATGGTTTAAGCCTTAAAAGGAGTATGGGTGTAATATCTTCCATCATTAATCATTGAAAGAGCGTCTACATTTGTGGCCCCTCCCTTGTCTCTTCGCAGTCAGAAATGGATTTCCACAAAAGCTAAAATGCGATTTTCTCCTCACCCCCAATAATAATCTCCTTACATATTTTAACTATATTCGTTTATGTAATGTCATTGGACTGAAAACAGAAATGTGCCTGTTTCTCATTCTATTCCTGAAAATTTGAGTCAGTGATCTGAATAGTAACGTTGGGTGTGAGCTGTTTTGTCAGGCATGCAAACAGGCTTCTCGGCTTGTCTGCAGATGCACCAACATGCTAAAAAAGAAGAAAATACATACAGTAACCCAGGTAATTTAAGGAGACTGACCACACTGCTGCAAATGTGAGTATCGTGTATCATGGCTGCAGCTCAAATCCAACCTGTGATAAATTGGATGGGAAAATGAAGTTGTCATTGCACCAGGGGGCTCCATTTTACACAGGTGGGTTGTGCTGTATTACCTGTCACAGGGTCAGACTAACATATAGTAATGTTTGTCATGAAATTAAGAGAAAAGATCCAATGTGTTTTTCAGAGCTGTAAATAACTGATCTGGTGGTGACTGTAGAATGGCTGTAGAAAATGGCCTGCCAATACCAAGTGCAAGCAGGTATTATTACAGGGAATGATCTGTCAATAAGATTCCATCTCATGGCTCCTGTGAGTCCAGATGACTGTGGTGCGCTGGCCACATCTCAGTGATAACTCAAGTCTAATTGACGGGGCCTGCGCTGCCTCCTGGGGTACAGGAGGGCTGACAGAGATAGAATGGAGATTAAGGAAGGACGTGAATGAAGGTGAGGCGAGGGAATGAGGCGAGTTAGAGGATGGGGGTTTGCATTGAATGAGGAGGCACGGAGGTGATGCACGAGGGATGCTGGTCAACTAGCAGCTAGAGCCAGAGCACTGTCACTTTCTCCGCTTGCCGTGCCTGCTGGCCCTGACAGAAATCCATTTGAGGGCCTCCTGGTGCTAACAGAGTGCTAAAACCCAATCAAACAGGTTGGAAGGAAGAAGCAGAGACGCTCAGTCCAGCCAGCTTCCACTTGTATGAGCAATTCACCTCCGACTGACCCATTCAGGCATCTTAAATAAGCCATGTGCATCATGGACGGCAGAAACGTCACACTCTGGGACCTGAAGACAGCCATGTGTCTGTGCAAGCTGGAGAGTGCTTTTTGAAATCGTGTTTGCACTCTTCAAGGTCAAATGAAAATAAAATGGCATTTAAAGAAACGTGGAAGGAAATGCTTTGCTTGTTGGATATAACCTGATACACCCAACTGCTATAAATTTATTTTTTTTCACAGTTTGATTTTCCTTTTTGTCATGTGTCTGACATTTGAGATTCATGATTATTAATGTTTGAATTTAAGGAAAATCTGCAGAAAGTAATTTTGGATAAATATATTCATTAATGTGAACGACAGCTAAATATACAAATGTGAATAACTTTGACACACAGATTCAATGTTGGGTCAGTGCTGAGATCAATTAACAGGGCTAACAAAATACAATAATGGGTCCTGAATTACAACAGAAAAGCTTCTGTAATACTAAAAGCAGTAGCCAAAGAGTGGGGCTGATCTTGCTACTTTAATCCACTGCGGTAAAGGTCAGTGTAGGCACATTGATCAAGTGGTGTGCACTTTGGTGGGAAAAGCACTTAGGTAGATTAAAAGAACAATATGTTGTATTTATAGCCTTTAGTAGGTGTTTATGCAGAATGATTAACAGATCATTGGCAAGCTGTTAGTTTAAAAAACAGGCCTGCAGAACATCAGGTTTGTTTTTATATCTACTGTATGTTTCCCTGAAACAATAAAAGAGAGATGTAACGATTTCTCATCTGTCTTGAGCATTTAGTGTTACAGACAGAAAATAACTGCTAGGCTATGTAGGGCAGAGATCAGAAATCAATACTTACCAGCAGCCGACTGCAGCCAAAACCACCTCAAAGTAGCTGCTAAAGTTCAACAAAAGAGGACGCTAGCTGGTGAAAGCAGCAGTGTTCACTGGCACCCTGGTTTGCTGTGGTTCTCCCTGTGAAATGTGTGGTGAGAATGTGATTAGCTAACCCTGGCCAGGCACAGCCTCATTTGAGGTAACCGTTTTATCTTTCCTTCTTCTTCTCTTCCCTCATGTGTTATTGCACATAGAATTAACAGAAAAAATGGTAATTAATATTTCCCCTCTATTGTTGAAGATGAGAGGGGACATGAGAGCCACCGGTGCCAGGAACCAATGGATGGCACTGCCATCATCTTGCCAGTACTTTATTTTTGTTGGGAGAAAGTGTTTTCCAATAAGCCAATATAGTGGTGTTTAAATATATATATATATTTCTTCTGTTCCCAGTTTGTCCCAACTGTTAGAAAATGATTGTTTTGGCTTTTTTTTTTTTTACAGGCACTTATATCAACATATTAATCATACTTTTTTGTATTTCTTTTTTTTTTTTATTTCAGGAAGTGGGGGATGTGGGCAGGAACACCAGAGAACCAGTACAGTCAGATGGTGTATGAGAATGGAGAGCCCTGCTGGCAAGGAGGTTCACGCAGTACTACTGTAAGTACCTGCAGGTTTCACACAAAAACATTCAACCAAACACACACACACAGTGATGGAAGTACAGAAGAACAAAAAGAGACAGACATGAATAAACTAACAGATAGGGATGGGACAATGCGTGAGACAGATGAATAGATGATACAGTAAAAAATGAGGGAACCAAGCGAAGCGTTTCACTTCAAGTGATAATACAGATCCAGTTTGAATTTTAAATAATTCTGGTAAATGTGGACCTTTCAGTTTTTAAACATGAATAGAAAATAATCGGATTAATTTTGCTTTCTATCACTGCAATTGTAACACAATTGTAAGCAAATAATTTAGCTTCAAATACTTTTATTTCACAGTGATACAAAAGAAATCAGTCACCTTTGGTAAAACATGGCTGTAGCGCTGTAGAGTTAAGTTACAGTCACTTCCCTCTAGCCTTGTGGATACTGTAAATTCTCATGTAAAAGACATTAGTCATATTATACTCATCACTCTGCTCTGAGTTTGTTTTTAAACAATGTTTTCATACTCTGAATTCCAGTCGTTCTTACTATTGACTGATGTTAAGCTAGTGTTGACAGAACTAAACACTTCCTGATATATTTTTTCACAGCCTACAGTAGAATTAATGTGTATATTCTGGGGCAAATATTGAGTTTTATTAGACTCGCACTGCATTGTTTTGAGAGAAAAAACTGATCATTCTGTTGTACTGTTGGGATTAGTGCTGTGAAAATAGACAGCGTCTTCAAACCAGAATTTAAAAACAAAAGATTAGCCACCAATGTAGAATCCATGTGACCAAAAACAACTGATTTGTACTCTAGGATCATTTGACTGTATTTATATTTCTCTTCCCCTTCGTCCTCAGTGCTCAGGTTTTCTTTGTAGTTCAGTTTTTTAGTTTTTGAAGCTGACCCTGTTTTTTACGTGGGGGCGGGCTTAGTGCCTGTTGGCCACCTGACATCTGACAGAGAAGTTATGTATGGCGTCACTTCCACCCGGAAGCCTTTTGCCAAATTGCGCCTTGAACGTATGGAAGGGTTTGGTCTCGACTCTTTGCTGCCGAAACAAACGCTGGGACGGTGGACATCTGGGGTAGGTTTAATTTTGTGTTTGAGTCGTTTATCAGCTTACGAATTATGTTTTCATTTAAGCTTATTCAGTGCGAACAAGCTCGTATAGCAGGAGCGGCTCATTGTTGTAGCGGCTAACCTCTGGTAGCTAATGTTAGCCAAACCAAGTAAGAGCTACCATCAGTGTTGAGTGGGGTACTAAAAAAAGAGTAGGTTACTGCGGCCACTGCTAAGTACTTATTTTTGTTGCGAAAGCTAGTATTTACTTTAGTCGTGCCATAGCAAGTTTTAGTTTGTGGTCAAGCCAGCTGTCATTCGTTTCTCCGTGGTCAAATGAGCAGTATGTGAAATTGAAGTGTGCTTTAAACAATTATTTATGCTAGTTTGAAAGCCTGTTGATTGCATCCGATTTTCAAAATAAGACATTTAAGAAGGACATAAAAATGAATATAGACAAACGTACTCAATCAAATTATACACGCAAACTTTTAAATACAGCCTATTACATGCACCCTGTTATTTTAAAAGTTAAAAATGTTCCGACAGGAACTGATATTTACTTCACCAGAACCTCACCATCAAACATTTTTGCAGTATCATTTTGGAGGAATTTCGTAATAAAGGTTTTTGTTGTGAATGTTGAAGCTGTGTTAAACCACATTGGTCCATAATTCCTGAGAGGGTCTGATTCATGTCTAGAGGAGGCAGACTTCACCCTCACAAAGAATGAAATATTTTTACTGTACCAGTTTGCAGAAATTTCAGGATCATCGTTATTGGCCATATGTGTTTAACACATGAGGAATTCATCATGTGTTAAAACACACCCTAACCTAACACGGTACCATTGACTGTGGTACCGTGGCTCGCAGTGTGCAGGTACAGTATGTGTATTTCATGTTTTTCTGAATTAATTTGTCATAAAATGTGATCTGATCTTCATCTAAGTCAAGAGTATTGAGAAATATAATGTGCCTAAAATAATACAAAAAAATTCTGATCTTTCATGGCTTTATTGAAGACATTCAATAAATTCAAAGCTGGTCAGGCAGCTTGCAGCAAAGCAGGGCCAAATCTTTCCTCCACCATACTTGGAATGATGTTTTCATGATGATATACAGTGCCCTTTTTACACCAGATGTAGTGCTGCGTGCTCTTTCCAAATAGTTCAATCTTTCTTCCATTAGTCCACAAAACATTTTGCCAATACCACTGTGGAGTGTCAATGTGCTCTTTCACAAACTTCAGGTGTGCAGCAATGTTCTTTTTAGAAAGCGGCAGCTTCCTTCATGGTGTCCTGCCATAGACACCCTGCTTGTTCAACGTTTTACGTACAGTAGACTCATGAACACAGATGTTATCCGGTTCCAATGATACCTTCAAATCTTTGGCTGTCACTCGAGGTTGTTTCTTTACCTCACTGATGAGTCTTCGTTGTGCTCTTGGGGTCATTTTGACTGGGCACCCACTTCTTGGTGGAGTAGCCACAGTCCCAAAGTGTCTTTATTTGCAGATCGTTTGCCTAACTGTAGACTGGTGAATTTTTAAAGTCTTTGAAATCACTTTATAACCCTTTCCAGCTTTATGTAAATCAACAATTCTTGATCATAGATCATCTGAAAGCTCTTTTTGGCGAGGCATGGCTCACATAAGCATATTCTTCTTGTGCAGAGAAAACTCAAAGTTTGAGTGGTTTTTATCAAAGTAGCTCTACACCTCCACACTTCCACTCATTTGGAGATCCACACCTCCAAACTCATTTTCTTAACAAGACTCCAGGTATGCTAACACTTGAGTCCAGTCAGCTTTTTTGAGGTCATTAACTCAAGGGTTCATATACTTTTTCCACTAGCACTATGAGGTTTTTATGGTTGTTCTCAATAAAGACACAAAAGATGAGAAATTTCTTTCTGTTATTATTTTAGGCACATTATGTTTGTCAATACTGCTGACTTAGAGCAGGGGTGGCCAATTCCAGTCCTCGAGGGCCAGCTTCTGACTGACTGAACACACCTGAGCCAGGTAATCAGCAGCAGGTCCGGCAGGGATAGTTGGAAAACAAGCAGGACCGCGGCCCTCGAGGACTGGAATTGGCCACCCCTGACTTAGATGAAGATCAGATCACATTTTATGATAAATTAATGCAGAAAGCCATGAAATTCCAAAAGGTTAACATACTTTTTCTTGCCATGTATATAATGCAACAGGTAGACAAGATTAGACTGAGAACAAGAAAAGAAAAAGTGCAAACAAGAAAAATGTGCATTAATAAAATTTAAGTACTTATATAAAATATGTGTGTATATATACACAGTATAGATTGAAGTTCAAAGGTATATTTTCAAGGTATTGCATGGAGGGTTGTCGTTTTGTTATGTAGTCATGGGTTAAGTGTGATGGCCCGGGGAAGGAAATTTCAGATTAAATGTCACATATTAGTATAAGAAAATGTCTCTTGTAATGGATAAAAACACTTTGGTCAACAGTTACTCACGGGGACTGATGGTTTTCTGTTCCAGAGGAAGCAGACTACAACCTCACAATGAATTAAGTATTTTTACTTTACCATTTTGGAGAAATAGAAAAAGAATTTCATTATTTGTGCACAAGAAAATAACTTCAGTTACAAAGTTCAAGGCAGAAAAAAATGGCCTGTAATTCTGGACAGGGGATGATATTCTGTGTGAGGTTGTTGTCCAACTCTTCTACAAGACACATACAGTATTTCAGTCCCTGTCTGAAATTATGCAGCATTTGGTTTTTATGCAGCTTCAAATATGTTCTAATAAGAGAATTCTAACCTTTAATTATATAAATTAAACCTTTGGGTCTGTGTGAAGTGAACTGTGAGGGTGGAATAATGTCTTCCTTATTTGCGTTTAGGGTTTATGGAGACCAAGGAGTAGAACACATGGACATCAAGATTTATGTTGACAGACTGGCTGCGGCAGAGGATGTTTGACATCAGGATAGTCTTCACAATCAGTGGTATGTATGAATATCTAATCCATGGTATCTGTAGAGCCCTAGAAAGTCTTGAAAAGTAATAAATCCACTAGTCCAAAAGTAAGGCCTTGATTTGCATTAAAATGTCCTGTTATCAGAAGTCTTAAACTTTCACTACTGTGCTAAATAAGAGTTTGTTTTTACACATCACATTGTAAAAACTGTGTAAGCAGTCCAAAAAAATTCTTTGTTTCATTATTTTAATGTAAGGAGGGTCCGAGTAAGCGGAACCATCAGCATGCAGTTATGTTTGCATGGTGGGAGCTAATTGTTGTGACATTACAGGGCTCTATTCTGTGAGCATTTCACTTGCATAGTTATGTGAATGTGTAAATGTATTAGGGTGCCATGGTGTGCAACTGATCCTCGGGTTCTCAGTTTGTCAGGACCAGGAGCTTTTTATCAGTACTCAAAGAGACCAGTGAGTAAGATAGTGTATAAATACAGATAGTAGATATGAGGGCCCGGAAGAGATGGGGAGCCCAGGTGAGGTGCAAGTTTATTCAGGTTAAATAGCTTAGCCACTATTTACTACATGATTTTTGTAAAGTTTGACACTGGATGTATGTGATGGTGTCTCCCCACATGGGTTTGGTGAGCTTGTCTGAGTTAAAAGTATTATTTACAAATTTAATAAATCAGTACACACAACATTCAGATAGCAGCTTTTAATTTTTAGCCAGTGCTGATCATAGCTTTTTTTTGTCAGAAATAGTAACGGCAGGTCGTGTCAACTGTCTCTAAAGTTAATTCCATGACTAATTTGATGTAAATAGTACAAACACTGAATGTATAAATAGACCTAGCGTGTGTATAGGACAGTTATGTGCTGTCCTTTTTGTATGTTTTTGCATATTTTTGTTAGCTTGATTTCAAATGAAAGAAGTGGCTCACCCTAAATTTTTTTCTTTTGTCTACGGCATAGGAAGACTTTGGCAGGACCTGGGGATGACCATTTCAATCAGTACTTTCATCAGTATGTCATCTGCACTTCTCAAAACTTGCGATGGCACTGACACAGAAGTCCCATCATCTCCACTATCTCCAGGTACAAATTTTGACATTTTGGGGAGGGGGTATTTCATGCCTTAAAGGATAAGGCCAGTCATTTTCTAGATTACCAGCACAATGATGTGCCTCTACTCACACTTGTCTGTCGGTCCTAAGATATCTTATTTGTCTTTGCCATAGACCTCCATTGTTGTATAAAAATATCTGGGAAACACAGCTTCACTGGGTGGCACAAGACCCTGAGGACCTCCATTGTTGTATAAAAATATCTGTGAAACACCGCTTCACTGGGTGGCACAAGACTGATATTTGCTAAAGATGTCAGCTATGAAATTAGATATTTTTAACAGATATCAGGGTCTTGTTCTTTGTAATGAAGAAACGTGTCACCCAGTGCATTTCATTGTTTTTAATCGACAATGGGGATCGATGACAGAGGAAGAAGCTACACTAGGACTGACATTGACAGACATTAACTGTGAGTAGAGACAATTCATTGTTGGTTTTAGTCTCTATTAAGATTGTTTGAAACACTTAATATAGAAAACGATCCGCTTTATCCTTTAAGGTTTCAAAGCTACACTCACAGGCCACTTTATCAGGAACACCTGTATATGCACTTGAGTGCAGCACTTCTGCCTTAACATCTGTATTTCTGAAGCTTAAAATGTTTTTTGGTGAAATTGTCCTAAATGTATAAAAGTTCGGTTTAATATGTTTATCATTGAGGTCATTGTTAAAAGTGGGGTTGTACTGGACTACATTATAGTTAGTGTCTATATTTTTGCCCTTTCCAGTTGCATTGGTGTTGTACTGGACTACATTATAGTTAGAGTGTCTATATTTTGCCCTCTCCAGTTGCTTACAGGAGAGGGTTAGAATATTAGGAACACCTCTGAGTATAATGTAATCCAGTTCAGAAACGCTTGCACAAGGCCAACTTAGACCAACTGAGTTTGAATGCAGCGTGGGTTTCCATGTCACTCAAACTCAGTTTGTCTAAGTCGTACATGGCTTTATGCAAGTGTTTCTCAACGTTAAGGTTGGGAGATGATTAACCACAACTGCAGAGTTACCTGGACTCTTATTCAAGGCATTAAAGTGGTGGTGTTCTTCAACAGCAGGACCTTGATCAGAGTCATGAGGAGCCTGCTGGCACCACAGTCCATTCTGTGACAGCTTCACAGCACTCTGAGATGTAAATGTTTAAAGGCCCACCCAGTATGTTACATTATAACAAGACTAAAATGCTATACATGATTTGCAGAGAGCCATGTGTTTATTTCATTAATTTCTGTGACAGCAGGTTCACTCTTTTAAAAAACAGATGTGGGTCAAATTGATACGCCACAAACCCTGTGAAATCCTTCCCTCCTAGATGCAGTTGTCAGCCTGTGTTTAATTGCATTTTAATTTAAACTTGCATAGTTGGAAAAGTTACTTTGAATCAACCGTACCACTAAAGCACACTCAGCACTGTCCTGTTAGTGCTGGTTCACCTCTGCACTTAATGTAATTGCACTTCAATTGCACCTAGTTTGAAATCTTCACTTATGAAGAGTTCAAACCAAACATGACAACTGCAATTACATATGGTGAAAGAGTCACAGGCTCTAAAATTTGTGGTGTAGTAATTTGTCTTACATCTGTTTCTTTGGAGTTGTCCAGGTTCCAGTCACGATCAAAGGTGACGTCCAGTGCTGAACTGTGGTCTCTCTGATAGGAGGTGCCAATATGACCATCCTGGGGGCCATTGCATAATTCTGGGGACAGTCAGCTAATCATCTTCACCTGGTTAGATTAAAGGAAAAGAACGAGTTATGATTATAGGTGTTAACATACAATAATACATAGTTTGACTGTGCAGCAATACTGTGCCAAAGTCTCAGTTCACTGGAGAATATATATGAATATAAGGAATTTCAGGGCTGGTCCACTCTGGACAAGATGCACAGCAAATATTTCCCCTGAAGCTCTGACAAAAGGGAAAATATCCGTACTCTACTTAAGCAGCTCTGCTTTAGAGACAAACATCTTTATACATTGTCAGTACTCCATGGCAGTTCCATGACGCTGAGTTACAAGCAGGGCTAGGTACTGCATTCATTCTGTGAACAGTGGAAACAATATTGTGCTCCAAATCTATGGTCTGTGATGAAAGTGCATGTTGTACTACTAAGGAACCATATTTACAGTGCCACCATGCCACAGCAGTAGTTACCAAATGCTCCACACCAGACAATTTTCAAGTCACACTCGGATCCATTTTTACAACATACTTATATAAGTAAGGCAAATCTTGTTTAGTTGCTGTATGATTTGTGTGTCAGACTACAGAGGAAGTGGTGGAGTGGGAGGAGGGTGAGAAATGGCAGACCAGGATGGAGAAGGTGAGGAATTCACTGAAGGACAAGGAACGAGAGAATGGACTCCCTGTCCAAACAACTCAGCACTCTTAAAGACCTCTACGGCAGGTCAGTGTGGGCATGATCATCAGCCATTTTTTTTCTTTCATCGTGCTCTTTATGTACATGACAGTTTGTAAACTTCCAAATATAGCATGATGTCAGTGAAGTACACAGAGTACAGCTCTTTATCCAGCATTGTTAGGTCATAGAAGTGTGACTGGACTACTGTTGTGACCATGATGACAAGGAATACAAGCAGTTATTTTCATTATTGATTAATCTAATTGTTTTTTTATTAATCGTTTAGTTTTTACCACATACTAGAGTAAGTATATTTTTAAGGAGAGGGTCGGACCCCATTTTTACAACATACTATACTCACTCCTACATATGGACATCAACTTTAAGTTGATGATGTGAGAAACATATTCTAAAGTTGTGGTGGTTCAAGTGAGAGAGAGAGAGAGTGTACTATACTAGCACTGATGGGTTCAGGTCAGACTAATTTCTCAGCTCTTTATTCCTGACAAAGTCATTTTAAAAGTGTTTGAATCCCCAACCAAAGAACATCTTAAAGTGAGCAGTTCTCCTTTTTTACTTTGTGTTAAGGTGGACCAAAGGTTTACAGAACAAAATAATTTAGTCAATTTTGTCTTTGTTTTCCCGCACAGCCTGCCTCCAATCCAAGATGACCTTGACATTGAGGGATGGAACAACCCTTCACAGGACACATCCGTGGAAAATGGGAAGACTCAGTCCTGCCAACCCTCATGAGGACACTGACGTGAGAGAGACTGTTTAATGACACCATTTTTGTAAAAATAATTTGTGGCTTAATCCCAAAAAATATTTCAAAGTCTTCATGAACATTTTTATTTCAGGGGGACCATTTTCCCAGATGTGGATCATGCTGAAGTGTACAGTGAAGAACTAAGGGACCTGATATCTTAAATGTTAGCAGAACCAGACAATTTTAAAGTAATAGCTTTATTATATGTGGATGAAAAAAAGCAAAAATAAAATAAAGAAAAATTTGCTGAAAAATAATTTTTTTAAAAACCCAGTGACTTAGTGGAATCAACTACAGAATTCAGAATCAGCTTTAATGGCCAGGTGGTTTGGAAAAGAGGAATTTGACTCTGGTACAACAGCTCTACATATCCCTTTGACAAGTAAACAGGGTAAATGGACTGTATTTATATAGCGCATTTTTCCACAGTGTGTTGCACTGACCAAAGCGCTTTACAGGTGATAATACACCATTCACACACTGATGACAACAGGCTGCCACACACCAGCGCTAGTCAAGCCACAGGGAGCAATGCAGGGTTCAGTGACACTTAAGAATGCGGGGAGACCGGGAGTCGAACCACCAACTTGCTGGTCAGGAGACGACTGCCCTACCTCGTGAGCCACAGCGGACAAAACAGAAAAAGTATTAATGTGCAACAAGCATTGAACTGTCAACTTGTGTAACTTATTTGTTCTTATTCTGCACTGTTTCCTCCCATTGCATTAGTGTTTTATAAACCTAATGTACTCCATCCATTACTTGTAATTTAAACCCATACTGTTGTATATTGTGTATAACTTTATATAACTTACTGTAAATATCAATGGTACATAAACTATTGGAAAATTAATACTGACTGTACATAATGTACTGTAGAACTTGTGTACTCTGCATTTCTGGTTAGATGCTAAACTATATTTGCCTTAGTCAGGGTCAAAGTGTTTGTCATATGCACAGTTAGGGAATGTGTTTCCCTGTACAATGAAATTCTTACTTTGCCGTCCACATGAATACCACAAAATACAAATGAAATATAAAGTAGATAAGTAACACAAAAGCTAAGGCACCCTAAGCACCAATATAATAAAATGTATATTTGTACTAACAATAACGTTGAATCTGATCTAAATTAACCTAATAAGGCATATTTTTCAGGAGAGGGTAGTAAGGCATATTTTTCAGATCACACTAACCTTTTCACGACATACTCCTGTGGGCCCACCACCTGCAGGAGGATCCGTAAGGGGCCGGTGCATAGTGGATTGGGCAGCAGTCGAAGGCAGGGGCCTCGACAACCCGATCTCTGGACACGGAGACTAGCCCTGGGGACATGGAATGTCACCTCCACGCACAGCTTGGGCTCTGGAACTTTACTCCTTGAGAGAGGCTGGACTCTCTACTACTCTGGAGTTGCCCGCGGTGAGAGGCGGCGGGCTGGTGTGGGCTTGCTCATAGCTCCCCAGCTTAACCGCCATGTGTTGGAGTTTACCCCGGTGAACGAGAGGGTCGCTTCCTTGCGCCTTCGGGTCGGGGATAGGTCTCTCACTGCCGTTTGTGCCTACGGGCCGAATGGCAGTGTAGAGTACCCGGCCTTCTTGGAGTTCCTGGGAGGGGTGCTTGAAAAGGCCCCGACTGGGGACTCCGTTGTTCTACTGGGGGACTTCAACGCCCACGTGGGCAGCGACAGTGACACCTGGAGGGGCGTGATTGGGAGGAACGGCCCCCCCGATCTGAACCCGAGTGGTGTTTTGTTATTGGACTTCTGTGCTAGTCACAGTTTGTCCATAATGAACACCATGTTCAAGCATAAGGGTGTCCATCAGTGCACATGGCACCAGGACACCCTAGGCCGGAGGTCGATGATCGACTTTGTGGTTGTTTCATCTGACCTCCAGCCGTATGTCTTGGACACTCGAGTGAAGAGAGGGCGGAGCTGTCAACTGATCACCACCTGGTGGTGAGCTGGATCCGATGGCGGGGGAGGAAGCTGGACAGACTCGGCAGACCCAAAC